CTTGAGGTCATCCGTCACCCCTCCGATGAACAGCGAGGTGTCCAGGTTGAGACCGTCTGTCCCATGGGGACTTTCGCCTTGGACGTGCGGCTCGTTGTCCACGCTGAGCACGCCGATCCGTCGGCTGCGCGTCACCACCAGCTGGTGCCAGCGACCCTGGCTGATCTGGACTTCGCTGATCACGGTGCCTGTTCCTGAGCCAGTGTTGAACCTGACGGATGAGATGATAATTAGTTATCTAGAGATCAGGCTGACCTCTGACCCGAACATTCAGAGCCACATAAAGACGGTTCCAAAGTGTGCCTCCGATCAGCTGAAGAACATTTCCAGGATCAGAGGCCTGATGTCTCAGCATCAGAAAAACACATCCACGATTATCTTTAGTGGCATCGATTACTGAACAGAACCTCAAGCAGAAGGTGGAACATTGATCAACTTACGTGATGTGTATTGATGATATTGATCATCATATTTAATGTGCATTGATGACTGATGATGACATTTAACAAAAGTCATTTTTATAGTTTTTATAGTTTGTTTCTTAACTGATGTTTTATGATTTAAAGCACTTTCAATTGGCTTGTTGCTGAAATGTTTTTTTAGAAATAAATATGACTTAAACAGACGTGGATGAGACAAAAACTTCCAGCTAAATTTAGCAAACTGAAATAAAGCCCAGCCTTTAATCTATCAATGTTTTGCTGGGGAGAAGGCCTTGACATCACAGAGATTAGATATTGTGCGTCTGCATCCACACATGCGGCAGTATTAGCTTAACCTGAGAGCAATTATCTGCCACGAATAATTAGTTCTTCTCCCCACGTCTCGGATTTGTGAAACTGTGGGTGGGAATCTCACAGTTGTATTTCTGGAACCGAGGCTTTCTTTGAGAGCAGTGGTGACTTATGATCTCCTTTTTGCTCTGCGATTGATTTCATCTCAACATACAGATCCAGCCTGGTCAGTCTGGAGGAGAGGAGCGCACTCAGAGTGTTCAAATCTAAAATACATGAAAGGTTGATGGAGCTGAAATAAAGGCCAATCTTTAATTAGTCTCATCGCTTGTCTTCAGAAGAAATGGTCTTTATTAACACAATTCTGCAGGGGGAAGACGTGAACACACATCATTATGGGATTATTACAGCACTCGGTGTTTCTGCTGGTTTCTCAGAGGAAAATTGGCCAATTTGATAGAACTGGTTGTCGTCAGTCAAAGGGTGAAAACAGAAAATGCTGAAAGAACTCCTCTTATCCTCCTCTCATCTTGTTTTGGCTGCTTTCAAACTACTTTATATCTCACTGATCTGTGCATTTCTCTCCTTATCTTCACTTCTCTTCTGGTTGTTCTGCGTTAGGAGATGCATTACATTTGTCAACATGTCACCAGGAAATATGCAAGTTAAAGCTGCAAAACGCACATTTGAAACCAGATGTTTTAATCTACTGTATAAAAGTGCATGCACCAACATTTTGGGTCAAATGTTTTGGCTATCATTGCGTGAAAGACTTTTCTTGGAAGAACAATATTACAACGAATTTGTAAAACCTTTACTACAGAAAATAGTTCCATAAGAAGCCAACATTATTATACATTATAAAGAGATCAAATTGAACTGGTCCAGACTGACACATTTTCAGTTTTCTACTTATTTTCATACTGGATGCAGACCTATGAATATTCAGGAGCAAAAGACACATCTAGAGACAAATGAACAATAAATCCATTGAAATGGGTTATGAGACATATTTTTACCAGCAGTTGGTCATAAACAGCTTTTAGTTGAATTTTTGAAATAAGTTTCACAGGAAATAAGATTTTTTGACCAACATTGTGATTTCCAATGAGCTGGGCTCAGTTACAGTTTGTCCAGCTATAAACCAACAGATTCACATTCATAGAAAGTATTTATAAAGAGAGGAATTTAGGTCAACAATGGGTTTTCAACAAGAACAGAAGCAATTAAACTAGTAAGCGATATATGTGTGTGATCCCTTGGAGGCACATTATCCCCACAGACAAACAAGGAGGTGGACCCATCATGCTGTGGGCTGCATCACTCCCCACACTTTAATGAAGTGAAAAATGTCACATTCTATTAAATGTCCAGTAGGAAGCAGCTTCCCTGGTCAGTAAATGCTTCTGAAAACTCATCAGTGACAGAACAGACCCAAAGCCACAGAGAAGCTGCTTAACAGAAGCAAATCATCAGATTTATAGAGGAAACCTGAGATGAGTCTGAAGCTTTGCGAAGCAGGATGAGACAAAGCTGCTGATGAGTCTTCTTGTTCACCAGCAAAAGGTTTCTCTTCCAGTTCTTTTCTTTTTTGCTTGTGGATTAAACACACAAAGTTTTTATATGAGGTGATGTTTCTGGCTTTCTGGTTGGTTCCACCTATTAAAATGTAATTATCATAAAAAGTTAGTTCCTTTGCAGTTGAGTCAAGTTGCACGACTGAAGTAGTTATTTCAAACTTAACACTCAATCAATTCTGACTGCACTGTTTGGAGGATATATATGGAATTGCTGCAGCTGTATGTAAACACAATAACGTTATATGTGCTCCAGATCCATTTCAGGAATCGAAGTAACCGCATGTGTTCAGACTGCTCAGAAAGTCAGACATTCAGAAGAATGTCTGACTTTTTTGATTTAGGGTTAGGGTTAGGGTAACCCTAACCCTAACCCTAAATTTCATTTAGGTCTTTTTAAAGACTGGTACTAAGAAGGAGCCAAAAGTACATAATTAACATGAGTGGCCATAATGAATCACCTTCTTTTTATCAGTTTATTTAAAATGTTCAACATTTTTAAATCAGAAAGTCAGACATTCAGAAGAATGTCTGACTTTAACCTACAAATTGCCCAGAAGTTATTTCCTGGCTCTGCTGTTTTCTACATGTTCACTCGCTGTAATTATTTGCCTCATTATCCTCAGCCCTCTGTTTTGCTCTTATTTACGGCGCCTCCCAGCTGCTGCTGCAATGACCTCGTTCCCTCACGGGGATCATTAATGTTTCATCACAACTTTTTGCAATAAGAATGGACGGAGGACGAAACCTCGTATTAAATTCAATCCAGCAGTATCAGTAAATGTCCTGCACTCACTTGAGCTCCACCCTGCTGTTGACCAGAGCCAGAGAGATGAAGTCTTTCTTCTTCATTTGGCCGTTGTAGAGCAGCAGGCCGTTCATCTCGGACGCTCTGAACTCCATCTGGATGCGGACCGTGTGGTACGCGCTCATTGTTGGGAAGGCCAGGAAAGACTGGCCACCAAATGATGGGATGAAGTACCTGATGGCTGCAGATAAAATCACAAGTCACTGCTGTCAATACTTTGTTACTGCATACTGCATCTAACACAGGGCTTCTGCAGATTTCACCAACTCAAATTTAAGATCTGCACAAAATCACAAATAAACAAATCCTATTGGTTGACAACAGACGTGACCCAATGAAGAAGATGAAGAGCGTCCAGCCAACTGGCAACTTATACATGACGGACATAAAAAGTTAGCTTTACCCTTTAGATAACAATCTTACCTAGTAAAGTTTAGCAAGCTTTTCTATTAGCAATATGAAAAACTATTACTGGTATGTTAGCGGCTAGCTACCACTCAGACCACAGTGAAGATGTCGGCATGGGACTCAAAGGTTTGCATAGCAGTAAAATTCCAAGATTAAAAAGAGAAAACTCTGTAGCATATATGATATTACGTATTCCTGCCACAACACAGTTTGACATTTGATTAACCATAATCCAGCTGATATATTTTTATACAAGAGAAATCTAAAATTTCTGGCTATCTTAAGGTAATGCCTACTTTTCTTTAAAAGTGACAGAACACACAATGTGTTATTTTAATACATCACCTATAAAATGATGTTTTGTGAATGTATTTTTAATGTAAACTGACACCAGGAAGAAAAGCTAATGTAGCATCTTGCTGATGCTAAAGGGGGTCTCAATAAAATAAACATTTTTTTCTCAATAAATTGAATACATTTTTTAATGAGACATTTTAAATTTCATTTAGGTCTTTTTAAAGACTGGTACTAAGAAGGAGCCAAAAGTACATAATTAACATGAGTGGCCATAATGAATCACCTTCTTTTTATCAGTTTATTTAAAATGTTCAACATTTTTAAATCAGAAAGAAGAATAGTTTTTTTTTTTTTTTATAGAAGCAGGTTAAGTTTCCGTCACCCTTTCCCTCCGTCCATCTCGTCTTTTCTGTCTGTCTCTCCGGTCTCCTCCTGTCCTAATGACTTGATCAAGCCGGTGGGCAGCCAGTGCATGCTGCTTATGGGTGTTTGTGATTTCAGTTAGCCACTTTAACTCAAAGGCACAAAGTAATTCTCATCATCTAAAACCCATCAAAGCAATTAGTGTCAATTATATGAAGATGCAGCTGTGTGAGGTCGCTGCGTTGCAAGCCTGAAATCCCAGAGCGGGGAAGAAATAAAAGCTCTGCAGAGCTTTCTGGATTTGGTCTTACTGTTGGTGAGCAGCAGCTCAGTGGCTGCACATATCTGGGATGATGAAACTGTGTGAATCACTGGAGCTGAAGGTCAGGCAGCAGAAGAAACAGCTTGTGTCTGACTAAACATGCCTTTTTTGTTTTTTAACTTGATTTAAACTCTATATGTACATGTACAAACCTGATGTTTGGTTCTGTGGTGTTAATTTGTAAAGCTGTAAATGGCCCGATAAATCCACATCTGTGACCACTTAACATTTCACCTCCATAATCCCGCAGTAAATGGAGCCATCATTCCCTCTGCCACCTTCACACACAGCACTCAGCTAGAACCGGCAGAACAGCCACAGTACTGAACTATTCACACCTGGAACTCTTCCACATTCACTTCTCAACCTTACACAGAAACACACACAGAGGTGCATATTCAGTGTCTACTAAGGGCACTCTGCCTTGTTGCTCCACTGTTGACATTCTGACCTGGACAGACTGACAGTCAGGACAGACGGCTGCGTCCTAAAGGAGCAATCAAGCAGATCCTTCTGCCATCTCTGCTCCAAACTGACTCAATAACCGTCGACATCTCCATTTTCTGTTATTGTAATCAACCTGTTGTTTTTAATGCACATTTACATATGTGCACATATTTTAATTATAAATAAAATCATCTTCATTTATATATTATTATACTTTTATAATTTTGTGAATTTCCCCACACTCGAGGAGATTTCTATTTTTATTGGATGTGTTATCTGTTGTTTTATCAAACCAAAAATCCCATTAAAAATCCAATCAATAAGCCTCTGCTGCTCTGTGGTGATGATGATGATGATGATGACACACATGATTCACAAATTCTAAATGATAAAACAAAGAATAGGAAACTCCAACAGCTTGAAGAACATGAATGCTTAAGAAGGTTTTTCTTGAAGCTCAGCTTTTTATCTAACCTTAAATATTTGACATTGCATTAAAATGTTTTTGCTGCTTTATTTAGACACTGAAGTATGAAAGGATAAAGTTTCCAAAGATGATCTTTTATAATGGATCAATAAAGAGTGATTTATTCAATGGAAGGACTTTAAATGTCTCTGAGATGTTTGCTCTGATCTGGCTGTTTCATAAATTTAAGGTGGCAGCAAACCCTGAAACTTCTGCTTTCAGTCTAATAATAAACAAGGAAAGTAAACCGGAACAGAAGATGGAAAATACGGCTCACATTTCTCACACACTGCCCCTCCTCGTCCAGCCAGGCACTTGCAGCTGAAATCGTCACCGTCGTTTTCACAGGTTCCCCCGTTGAGGCACGGGTTGGAGTCGCAGGGCTTCTGGGTTCTGGACCACCCGGTCGTAGCGAGCGGCGCTGAGGTGCTACGCAGGGTTTTGGTGGGCGGAGCCCGCGTGGTGGTGGTGCGTCTGGAGCTGGTGGGCCTGCGGGTGGTTCCTGGTGGGCGGCGTGTGAAGTGAGGGGAATGAGGCCTAGATGTGGGGACGGGGGAGGCTGTGGTGACGGCGGCGGCGGCGGTGGTAAACAGTGGGATGGTGGACAGACCTGTTGGAAAAATGACAGTTTAAACATGTAAAGCTTGAGATTTTCAGTTTAAGAAAACCTTCTGAATAAGTTACAGTAATTCCCTCTTTCTTTTTCTAAATTTTTCCACTTTGCTGTTAAGCTATATCACATTACCATCATTAGTGAAGCGAATATTCTCTGCCGTTGGCTTCTTTACAGAGATGCTGGTGTCTTTGGAAGCCTTGAGCTGTTTCAGCAGCGCTCCCTCGATATCCTCCACGCTGTATCTCGTATCTACGACAAAGAAAAGGTTCAGGGATTCAGGACAAGGCCTCTGAGGAACGCTGCAAACACAGGACTTCAGCTCTTTTAATGCTAGCATGAATATATCAAACAGCCCTGTGTGTGACAGGTGGAGGGTCTCAGCGGACTTCTTGTCCTCCAGTTGCTGCTGGTTCCACTTTCTTTATTTTCCAGATGAATCGCTCTCCTAATGCTCGCCGCAGATGTTTGTTTTACAAGCCGTGGAGGGGAGACGTGTGAAGGGTATGAAGGACGCTAAATGTTGGCCATAAAAAATACAGGAAGGAGAAGGGAGGAGGAGGAAGACGTGGTTTTGTTTGCTGCAGACGGTCGATGAAACACCCATTTATGATGTATTTGATCTGAGATCAAATTATATTTGTAGGAGAAAAAAAGCCAAACATTTGTTTTTTAATGTTTTCTGAATCAACAGAAAGAGGAACTAAGATTTGATCATAAATCATCCCAAAAAGAAAAGAAAGTCTAAATCACCGGATGACTTTACATTTACTGAAGAGATAAAAATACAGGTTTACTTTTATATGAGATCAATAGTAAATAAGTAAACAATGATTAGGCCTGTCACAATAAACAAAAAATAAATTAATCACATGATAAATTAAAACAAGCTCAGTAATTCCCATTTGCATGATTTATCGTATTTCTCTTTTCTTACTCTCTGCCAATAACCATTATATTAATAAAGTCTTCAGTCTGCTGCTCTGCTCTCAGATAGCCTCTTTTTCTGACGGGCGGTTTTGTTTACAAAGACTTCATGACTCATTTGTTTGTTGTTTTGTTTTATTTATTTCAGGTATTTCAAATGTCTTTCACTTTCACCACAATATTCATGTCTATTGCAATAATTTATGGAACAATTTATCGGTTGTGACTGATATGCTCCCTGAATACCTAATCAATAAAAAAGAAAACTGTTAGTGGAGCCTAACAACAATAAGATGGCATATTTATAGCTAAATAAAATGTATAATTTACATATTGTCTCAAGAAATAAACCAACTAAAACAAATTTGTTTGCTGTTTACAGTATCATGTGAAAAGAGCCTGGCAGGCCACCGAAGTCCAGATTCAATCAGCCATCAGATTAAAATGATAGTAAAAATCAATGAGTTATGTCATAATTAGGGATGCTGCGATCAGGTTTTTTGCTGCGGATTCCAATATTGATCATTGTCCATCACCTGGATTGGTTGTTAATATTTTGTGTTATGTAAAAATGCTACTATGTGATCTGGCAAAAATGATCTGGTAATAAATTCACCCAATTTAGATATAAAACATTGAAAACATGGGTTATAAAACATGCAAGTATGTTGTGTCTGCAAAGTACTTACAAAGACAAAATAAGAAAAAAGGCAATTTATTCTATAATAGTGTTAATAAAATGCTACTAAAAAGTAAATATGAAGCTAAAAAATGTATTAAAGACATGAAGAGTGGAGGGAGTACCATCATTAGGACACTCAGTCAAGATGACAATTGAAAAACCTGCAGCCAGTAAAACAATATTCAACAGTAAGATTCTCTGTACCCTGAATTATACATGAGTCAAAGAAATCTCACTTCACTGTCTATATCAAATAATGCCAAGTGAAAAAGAAACATTCATTCACAAACATTCATTAGTTACTAAATCCAAACTTCCTGTGAGCACGGCTGGCTGAGTAATGCTGGTTCTGATTGGACCGAGCTGAGTAATCCTGCCTCCTGCATGGAGGAGGCAGAAGAGACAGATTTTTTTCAGAGATTATCCATCTTAGTTTGAACACATATGTAAAATGTTGCTAGTTGGAGTTACATGCTGCAGCTTTAAGCAGCGTTCAGTGTGAGAGTTCACTGTCTGGTGGAGGCTGAGCGGGTTCAGTCACTCAAATGTTACTAGCAGCAGCGAGGCGCGGCGGTCCAACAGCAAGAACAGCAGAACCAGCAGAACCACTAGTTCGTTGATTTAAATCATTTTTTGGGTTATTCGTTTAGCTTTCTGACCATCATGCTAATCCGGGTGAGTGTTGGTAGTTGTGCACTGCTTTGCCTACGGACTGTTTGCCACGAATGTCGTTTTTTCCTGCAGTGAGCCTTGAAACAGCCAAACTCCATCAAGTGCTCATTTTTTAAATGTCATGTTATATTTGCTGTGTTCATATATTTTGATGTGCTTCTCCTTCGAGGTAATTTTCCGCTGCAACATGCAAACTTTCCCATTCACTCTGAGTGTTATTAAAGTTCCACACGACAGGATTAGTTGCTCCACTCTTGCGCAGTGTGAAGAAAGAGGAAATAAGCTGCATAGGCAAGCTGTGAAGTGATAGAAAGGTGATTGGTTTGTGTGATCGGCAACAAGAGTCTGTGATCGATGATCGCTGATCATACACTTTTTCACGGAAATCAGCCAATTATAATCGGTGGCCGATCAATCGGCACACCTCTGGAATATTCAGAGTTTGAGGACATGCTGGGCTAAGTGTGTTCTCATCATGGAGGAGCAGGAGTCACTATTGAGGATGTCGTGTTCAGAGTCAGAAAAATATTTGAGCTTCTGTCATATTCTAAATATTAACTTGATGACTTAAGAAGACAGAGCAAAGAACAGAATTTAGAGTATAAAAAACCTTTTATGAAGCTTTCCAACTCATCCTCCCGCTGAATGACGGGCTCAGCTGGAGCAGGTAAACCTTCATTTTGGATTCTTCTGGTTTGGAGCTGAGTGCAGGCACAATATTTTATTTTCAGATTTAAAACTTTGATCTAAGGTAGCAGATGACCACAACTTGGTGGCCATCTGCTACCTTACTCTGCAGCTGTTGGTTGTATGTATGGAGGAGTTTTTATAAAACAGGATAAACTTCTCTGTTTCAACTGTAATGAATCATTCAGCTGCTTTACTGATCACTACATCGTTGTCTATCCCCCATTTCTATTGACCTCAATAAGCTTTCATAACTCACCAGGTTTCTGAAAAGCTGCCCCAAACAGACCAAATCAACAACTCATTATTCAGAAATAGTTTGGATTTTTTCTAAAGCTCTTTTTTGCCTGATCTTCATGGAGTCAGCTGATTTTATTTAGGCCAGTGCACATTTATTACTTTACATTTGTGTGAGGATTATTGGTAAACTGGGAAAACTAATGACTAAGACAAAAGGATGGAAGAGAAAATGCAAACATTTTTGGTGGCTGCAATTTGCTATGTAGTAAAGAACAATCTAAATTTAGGTGCCAGAACAGCTGAATCATGAAAAGCTAATTGTTTTTTAGAAAGATTATGCTTTCTCTTTCTATTTTGAGTCTGTTGTGTTTTGCATGTGTACGTTTCTCACCAGGTCTGAAATGGGCCTCCACTAGTGCCATAATGGAGCCGCTTGGAGCCAGCTGACGAACTCGAACTCCCATGAAGTCCTTGTGCACCTGGGACTTCCTGAACATCTCATTGAGCTGTTACGCAGAAAACGAAAGCAGCTTAAATACAGATGGAGACAACAGATGATAAATGAAGACAGTAATGAGCTCCACATTTTCATTCCACAAAACTGTTGACTATCTGGAGAGAAGAAAGACTGCCTCTCAAATTGGTTTGCAGAGAAGAAGGCCACTGGGTGTGGGAGCACAAATTGACATTTAGCTGGCTGAGGTGACATTAATTTTAGGAGCAGGTTTCCTAAAGATAAATGCCAAGCTACCTTGACATTCTGATTGGTTTTTCCTACAATGACTCGGTGTGCACAATGTAACCGGCTGAGCAACTGAAAGAGACGAGCTACTGTTTTTAAAGCTAACTTTCATAATGAGCTCTCCTTTAGCCCCAAATCTTCAAAACAAACTGAAAACTTTGCAAATTTTATTCTAAAAGATGAAAAATATTTTTAGAATAAATATGATAATATTTATACTTATTGTCCTGGTAACACAAAATAAAAACCCTGAAAAAGGTCTATGTTATCATAATCTCATGAATTTTTAATCTACAGTCCATTGAATGTCAAGGTGCTAGCAAAAGATAGCAAGTCCATCTGTTTACAATGAAGGTTTCTCCACCTTCCCACACATTGCTGTGATTTAAAAACAAATTCCTCTCATACAGAAAGATAAATTAATTTGTGAATGTTGAGAAGAAATCAGCTGAAGTCAGTTAGTCAGAAGTGCTCTTTGCTTGGTAATGAATGATGCTCTACTTTCAGGTAAACAGGTATTGTTATTTTCATTGAATTTTGTAAATAACTCAAAATGCCCAAGGAGACCTCTTCAGTGCTTTGTTGTGGCCAGTCACGTTGACCAAACAGCACCACTCTTCTCATTGAGATGAACAAAGAAAAATAAATGAGCAAAGAGTTTCATTTCAGGTTGCATCATATATTAAGATGTGTTATTGCAGGGGCAATTTGAAATTAAGTGGTCTTTGACAGCTTGTGTAATGGGTTAGCTGGTCTTCACCCTGAATAAGTTTGAGAAACACTGAATTAGAGACGGATGCAAACTTCCAGGGATTAGGATTCGCAGTGCAAACTTGCTCAATGCTCCCGCCAACAGCCAGTGTAGAAAGAAGGATTTATCGTCTCAAGCTTTGTGGTGGTGCAAGGGCACCGCCTAGTGGAGAGAAAACAACTTGGGACTACTTGTATGATCAGAGGAAGCCAAGTTATAGCGACTGGATTCCTTTGAACGGTTAGTTGTAGGAATCGTTTCCGTTAGTCAGAACTGCTCTTTGCTCTGTAATGAAAGATGCTCTGCTTTCAGCTATTGTCAATTTCATTCAATTTCGTAAATAACTCAAAGAGGAAGAAAAATAGTAGGAAAACAGGTGACTTCCAGTTGGAAGGGGTGGGTCTAAAAAGATGTCACCAATTGACCATGTGAATGTGATGAGCTCTGGTCTGTTAGATGCAGCTCGGAGCTTATATGGGGAAATTATTCCATCTAAATATTTTATGGCGAAATTCCAGATTTGAGGCTTGACCACGCCCACATGCTGTGACATTGTTAAATTTCTTTGATAACTTTTGGCTCAAGACTGTGCTGACTGAGTTTGAAGCCTGGAAAGCTGTTTGCTCAGATACGTCAATAAAACGTCAATAAAAAAAGATTCAAAATGGCTGACTTCCTGTTTGGTTTGGACTATGGTTCCAAGAAACTTTTTTATAGGTCCTGACATGATACACGTGTACCAGGTTTCATAAACATGGTTTAGGGCTGATTTTTAAATATTTTCTAGGGGATACTGTAGAGGAATTAGGCCACACCCACCAAATATTGCACTGAATTCCTTTCAAGTGGGGGACAAGGTTTGATCTCAGAGTTTGGTCCAGGTCGGTTGCAACATGAGTAATCTAGAACCAAATGTATGACAGCGGCATGACCTGTCACTTTGCCGCCATGGCCATGCCCTCCACTGAAAACTCTTGGCGCTTTAAACTAAGTGACACCAACTTGTTATCTGTCATTTGACACAAGATCATCTTAATTAGGTCAAGAGAGCCAGAGGCGGAGCTTTCCACATAAAACAAAAAAATCACTTTCTGTTCTGAGGGGGCAGGGCTTAGATGATGTGAGACTATGATGATCCTGGTTGGATCGTCAGGGATCCAATCAGGATCACTCATGGCAAGTTTGGTCCCAATTGACCGTTTTATGTGAAAGTTAAAGTGTTTTGTTTACTTTGGCGAGTATGCCAAGTTCGCCGCTCTGTCACGACTCCTGAACAAATACACAAGTAAATTTTTTGAACAACTTTTAAAGCACGATGCCTCACCAGCATTCTGACCAAGAATGAACCCAATAGGTTGAAATCTCCAGGAGGAGTTTGTTAAAGTTTGACATGAGTAAAAGTGAAAAATGGCCAAAATTTGACCTTTGTCCCAAAATGGCTGCCTCTCTGTGCATTTTAGGGGGTACCGCCAAGAGACTTTTTTTCTTGATTTGGGGGGATTTACCTATGTAACAAGTTTCAGAGCTCTACGACCTATGGTTTCCCCTATCTCACATTAGGGGGTGCTGTAGAGCAGTTTGGTCACGCCCAGGTGCAACTCTACTAGAATCTGAAAATTTTCCTCGGGGGACCATTTTGGGCCAAGTTTGGTGAGTTTTTGAATATGACAAAGCCTCCAAAAGGCCATGTAAAATGGTGGGGAAAAAATGTATGATAATCGTGAAATCTTGCGATTTCAATAGGCCCTGGGCCAGTGCATCGCTGCTTGGGCCTAATTAACTAACAAGCTAAAATGAGGTGTTTGTACCTTTATTACTCTCTAAAGAGCGGAAGAGGGAACGGCCAGAGAGTCATTCTTCATGTAATTACTAACAGAAAACCACGGCTAGTCATATTGAGTTGTTTATTCAGTATATTTGCATAAGTTAGTTTATTATCAAAATCAAAACAACTTCTCAAATCTGTACCACTTAATGACATTTACAGAACTCAGAAAAAATATTGCATTTCTGTTACAAACACAGTTGTTTTAATCTCTTGATAATGAGATCAAGAGATTAAAACTCCCTGTGCATTTTAGGGGGTACCGCCTAAAATGCACATTACTAGTCGAAATGGGCTATTTTTACCACAACTTGATCCACATAAACCTAAGACAAGCCCATGACTGAATACAGCAATATAATTTAATATATGAAGCACATTTTGCTGCAGCTGATGAGCTGGTGAGCTTTAGTGAAGAATAAATACCTCACTAAAGTTTAATAATCTTATTTCTATCCTGTCAGTAATGACACTTAAACTGGCAGTCCACTCACACTGCCGATTAGGAACACTTTGCTGATCTTGTTGAGCACGCTCAAGAATATTTTCTGCAAACACTATACTCCTCAGATTTGTGAAGGTGTGACAGCAAATTAGGCAGTAAAACCCTCAAAGCTGGATTAGCGATTGAGTCAGTGTACACAAACTCAGTCGCACTTCACTCCTGTCCTCTTTGGAAATGTTTTAATTTATCTCTGAAAAAGCACATTCCATGTTTTTTAAAGAGCTGTGCTACAGCTTAACTCTTTTCAAGTAAAGAGCCACTTTGTGACTTTGCATGCCTTCTGCTTGCGCTAAGTCCATTTGTGTAAGTATAGTGTGTGCTCAGTGGTCGTCCTGCAAGATGTAGAAGAGGGCGCTGGATGCTGTCGAGTAGCACACAGGGCTTCAAGAGACCCACAGGCTAAGACCGTTAATGAGCACAGACACACGCACACACACACACCTACACACACACGCACGCACACACACCTACACTCAGGCTCCCGTTTCATGTGAGAAGTGAGGCCCCAGATCGCCACAGAGGAAACGGACAGTGGAGAAAGTCAGTGGCCAAACTGTGATTATGGTGGCTGTCTGGCTCAGCTTGCTAACAGCATGACTATCCAACCGTGGCAAGCAACTGCACAATGCTACAGAGAGGTGGTGGTTTTTTCTTCCAGTTGTGGTCTTATTAAGCTTGAAGAGCGTCTCTTCATACAAACATTGCCAAAGATTTTCCTACTTAATCATCTATATGCAGTGAAGTAATATTCAGAAGAAGAAAAATATGACAAGAATAGCAGAAATAAACTGAGATGCTGTTTCTTTTTCCTCCCACTAACTTTGGTCTTAGAAAATGGGGTTCAATTGCTGTAGATAATCTTCAGCACAGATCAACTGATGTAACAGATTGCCACTGTGCTCCTTTTTATTAAAAACTAAATATCATATGATGTATGTCCTCTGACCAAATGCATTTTCTTTCTTTTTCCCTGTCCTTTTTTCATTATTGTTATTTTTATATCAGATGTATTGGAGCAGAAAAATTGCTTCAGCTGGGCGTGGCAGAATATTACTCAGCATCTTCAGAGGTGTCAAGTCTGTAATATGCGCTGTGATACTTGCCTGAAAGAACGGAAAGAATTGGATTAGAAAGGCGCTCTGCGAGGAGCTTTATTGTGTCGAGGTGCTTTGAATCTTGTTTCAGAGGCTTTTGGCCTTTTCACAAGAACATTCTTGGAAAACAAAACATTTGCAACAAAGTCTTTGTTTTTTCCTTTCTCCTGTGGCCTCAGTGACACTTTGGACACTTGAGCAGCAGAACCAGCTCAGAATAAGGACAGGGATTTTTCTTCTAAGACCCATCATCGTGCATGTTACCTGCTGAATTTAACTCATGTTTGCTTTTCCTGTCGACGCCGACAATCTAAAAATTGGTCACTTGGAAAGTGAAACACAGTGGTCGCACAGACACACAAACGCTCACACGCACGCATCCAGCAGGGCCTATTCTATAAAGAATACTTTTTAAAAATGAGATTTGATTTTGTTTATTAACCAAACAAAAACTGCTTTTTCCTCCTGTTATGACTGGCGTCGTAAATTTAATCATGCAAACGTGAAACAATCAGGTGTCCATCCCTGATTGTCTTCCAGAAGACGATGGAGAAGTCCAATTGGTGGCCTCTTGGAGGTGATGGATATAAAACCTGCTGATGTAGACTTCCTGCCATCCATCCTCACTTCATCTCCACCAGCCACACTCTTTGTCTGTTAATCACCTGGTAAACGTTCTTGGAGTTTGTAGGACTGAGCGGCTGTTTATGTTGCCGCTTAGTTTTCTCATGTTTTTCTTAATTAGAGAAGTACATTTTTGTCATTTGGTTGATTTATTTTCAAATAGGTAAGTTCCGATTAATATTCAGATAGTTTCCTTTTGTTTATTGTTTTCGGCACCATAGCTCACTCTGAAGCCACGCACTCCACTTGTTGTAACATCACAGTCAAAAATACATTTTTGAAAATAAAGAATATTATAAAATGTTCATCTTTGTGTGTGTCGGCTGCTTGAGATGTGAAGAGGATGAATCCTTCATGTGATGATCTGGCCACCTCTAGATGAGTCATAACACACCGATGGTGCCAAGTTGAAGCAACGTAAAATATTAAAAGTCCAAGTTTGATCTGCTTAAGTATCATCACAATTTAGTGAATCTGAAGTAAGAAAACTGAAAATCTTTATTTCTTTTTGACATACAGGTCTAATGTTTCACAAACAGTGGTCAGCATATGATCACTCCAGTCCAGCTCTTTATCACACAGTTAAATGTTTTTCTAATTCTAAGTGGTCCAAATAGCCTTAAGGAGCGATGAAAATGTTGCTTTTCTGTGCTTCCATAGTTAGAATACACAATTAGAAACATAATTGGCGTTTTACGGAGTCTGATTAATTTTGGATTATCTGGTTCAAATATTTCAGATTTTTAAACATTTTTCTAACGTGTCCAAACCATGATGCCCTGTGGGTGGAGAGCCCATACACCCAAATAAAAACTCTGAAAAAACCGCTGAAATATTTGATTGAAGTGAGATTTTTATGTATGTTAGATGTTTTATCTTCACATAGTCTCTTTGCTTTTTGAGTGAACCACATTACAAGAGGTTAAGCAGTGAAGTTAAAGCAGATACAGTTCAGGGAAACTGCTTCCACTAGCAGAAGAGTTTATCTAAAAACGGACCCAAAAACGGTGCAAATCCACTCCAAATCAGCTAGAAATGCTGCCTGGCCCGAACAAACAGCGCTGTTGGACTTACGGCGCTCTCTATGCTGCGGGCTGTCTCTCCAAACAGCTCAGACTTGGGGTCCTCCATCTCAGGGGTGTAGAAAATCTCCTGGTCATCTACCTGGTCGAGGTGCAGGAAGCCCAGGAATTTCATTGTGGCTGCAGGCAGAAAGAGAAGAGGTGAGACATTTAAAGCGCATGCAGCTTTTCCCATCATAGCCTCTGCCTTCACATGGTGCTGCTGGTTTCTGGGGCAGTGCCAGGGAAGGGTGAGTGATGGATCGTGAGTTTGGGGTGGGTGGTGTTAGTGAGGGAGCTGCTGACCGACCCCAGAGGGGTGCTTCTGCAGTTTGACTGATAAACGTTAAAAAAAGGAAGTGAAGGAGGACGAGGCGAAGAGTGGAAATATGACAGAAGAGAAGGCAAACGGGGAAAATGGTCCAGTTTTACCAGATCCAGACTCATCCCAAAAGCTGGCTGTGGCATAGAAGGCTGGGTAGAGAAACAGCAGGTTAGATACAGAACAAACCTGAGACACACAGACATATACACACACACAGACATACACACACACAGACATATACACACACACAGACATACACACACACAGACATACACACACACAGACATATACACACACACAGACATATACACACACACAGACATACACACACACAGACATATATACACACACAGACATATACACACACAGACATATATACACACACAGACATATACACACAGACATATACACACACAGACATATACACACACAGACATATACACACACAGACATATACACACACAAACATATACACACACAGACATATACACACACACAGACATATACACACACACAGACATATACACACACAGACATATACACACACAAACATATACACACACAGACATATACACACACAGACATATACACACACAGACATACACACACACACAGACATATACACACACACAGACATATACACACACACAGACATATACACACACAGACATACACACACACACACACACAGACATATACACACACACAAACATATACACACACAGACATATACACACACACAGACATATACACACACAGACATATACACACACAGACATACACACACACACAGACATATACACACACAGACATATACACACACACAGACATATACACACACAGACATATACACACACAGACATATACACACACACAGACATATACACACACAGACATATACACACACACAAACATATACACACACAGACATATACACACACACAGACATATACACACACAGACATATACACACACAGACATATACACACACAGACATATACACACACAGACATACACACACACAGACATATACACACAACAGACATATACCCTAACCCTAACCCTAACCCTAATCCAGTCTGGGTCCTTAGGCAAGACCCTTCAAGCTACTGCCTACCTCATACCATGAGAGATACTAAGTTGCGTAACATGCCAGCTCAGACGTCGCCCGGCAAACAAGGTCTGCGTCAGGTGTTGGGGAACCAGAGCACCTTGATGACAAATGGGCTACTGGAACAAGACGGAAATGGGCGAGAGATGAAAATGTGGATCTGTTGGAATGCTACTACTCAAGTAACCCTAGTGAGAGAGGTTACATGCAAAGACTGGGGAAGGAATGGTTACTTCGACATCCCCAGTCAACACTAAGCGCTAAACAACTAGTAGCTCAGTGTTCCAACATCCGCAAACGGCAACTGCTATCACAACTTGAGATTGACGAGATACAACACAAATGCTACGGCAAAAGGGAGGAACCCGGATGTCAGGACTGTGGGGACTTAACTACAAGTCCCCACCCAGTGAGGGGATACACGGCCCCAATGAGCGAAACAGAGCTGAACGAGACAGCTGCTGACCTGAGAGAGAGAATCATGACCCGAATGACAACCAGGCCCTCGGCGCCAATTACAACGGCTGAGTGAAGTACCATCAGAAAGTCTCATTGAGAATGTGAATGCAGCATTGAGAACGATCCCTACCAACACCATAACAGAAACCAATGAGCTGATCTACAACTCAGCATCAGTGATCCTTGAGATACTTGGCTATAAGAGCAACCATGAGACCCAATACCCAACATGGAAAAGACGGTTAGAGGCTAAAATCAAGGAAACAAGGAGGGAAGTGAGCCAACTGTCAGAGCTCCACAAGGGTACAATGAAAAGACCAGTACCCAGAAAGTACAGGCAGATGCCCATACCTGAAGCACTTGAAACTGCCAAACAGAGGCTCCAAGCCTTGTCCAGCCGCCTAAAGAGATACACAAGGGAGAATGAATCCAGAAGGATTAACCGGCTCTTCTCCACTCAACCAGCTAAGGTGTACTCTCAATGGCAGGGTAATAACAACAGAGCAGACCCACCAAGGCTGGAGACTGAACAATACTGGAAAGGCATATGGGAAAGGGAGGCGTCCCACAACAGCAATGCACAGTGGTTGATCTCTCTACAAGAGGACCACAGCAACCTCCCTGAGCAAGCCCCGGTAACCATCACTGTGACAGATGTTCAAGAAAGAGTCTCAGGTATGAAAAACTGGACAGCACCAGCGCCTGACATGATCCATGCCTACTGGCTAAAGAAACTCACTGCTCTCCATGAGCGACTGGCAGCCCAAATGAACCAGCTGCTACAAAGTGGGACTCACCCTGAATGGTTAACTGAAGGGCGGACAATCCTAATCCAGAAGGATCCATCAAAGGGTCCAGTCCCACCCAACTACTGACCAATAACCTGCCTTGTCAGGCATCATAGCGGCCAAGATAAGCAAACACATGGATAAACACATGAGCACGGCACAGAAGGGTATCGGTGTAAATACCAGAGGAGCCAAACACCAACTCCTCGTAGACCGCACAGTTGCCCGAGACTGCAAAACCCGACACACCAACCTGTGCATGGCTTGGATTGATTACAAGAAAGCCTATGACTCAATGCCACATACTTGGATCATTGAATGCCTAGAGATGTATAACATCAACAGGATTCTGAGAGCCTTCATTGCAAACTCGATGAGGCTGTGGAAAACCACCCTGGAAGCCAACTGCAAACCACTTGCACAAGTGTCCATCAAATGTGGCATATACCAAGGAGATGCTCTGTCCCCGCTACTGTTCTGCATAGGCCTGAACCCCCTCAGCCAAATTATCAACAAGACTGGCTACGGATACCGACTCAAAAATGGGGCCAACATCAGTCACCTCCTCTACATGGATGACATCAAGCTGTATGCCAAGAGTGAGCGAGACATCGACTCACTGATCCACACCACCAGGATCTACAGCACTGACATTGGGATGTCATTCGGACTAGAGAAGTGTGGTCGGCTGATCACAAAGAGGGGGAAGGTGATCCGCACAGAAGGGGTCTCACTCCCACAAGGAACAATAGCAGACATAGAGGACAGTTACAAGTACCTAGGTATACCACAAGCAAATGGCAACCTCGATGAGACCACAAGGAAAGGAGCCACAGCTAAATACCTCCAACGAATAAGGCAAGCTCAATGGCAAGAACAAAATCCGTGCGATAAACAGCTATGCCCTGCCAGTAATCAGATACCCTGCTGGAATAATCAGCTGGCCAAAGGAGGAGATAAAAGCCACAGATATTAAGACTAGAAAGCTACTAACCATGCATGGAGGGTTCCATCCCAAATCCAGCACCCTGAGACTGTGCCGCAAGGACGGAGGCAGAGGACTAGTGAGTGTGAGAACCACTGTCCAGGACGAAACAACTAAGATCCACAAATACATCAGGGACAAAGCCTCAACAGACAATGTGCTCAGTGAATGTCTCAGACAACAGGGAGCGGAGGTTGAGGTGCCAGAGATACCATCATGGGAGGACAAGCCCCTACATGGGGATGTACCACCAGCAAATAACCCAAGTGGCTGATATCAGTAAATCCTACCAATGGCTGGAAAAAGCTGGACTCAAGGACAGCACAGAGGCCCTCATCCTGGCAGCCCAGGAACAGGCCCTAAACACCAGAGCAATAGAGGCCCAGATCTACCACACCAGACAAGACCCAAGGTGTAGGTTGTGCAAGGAGGCCCCTGAGACAGTCCAGCACATAACAGCAGGGTGCAAGATACTGGCAGGGAAAGCGTACATGGAACGACATAACCAAGTGGCAGGCATAGTGTACAGAAACATCTGTGCAGAATATGGACTGGAAACCCCGAGATCAAAGTGGGAAACACCCCCAAAGGTGGTGGAGAACGCCAGAGCTAAGATCCTGTGGGACTTCCAGATCCAGACAGACAAAACGGTAATGGCGAACCAACCAGACATTGTCGTAGTGGATAAACATCAGAGGAAAGCCGTTGTGGTAGATGTAGCAATACATCTACCACAATAGCAATACCACAATATATATATATATATATATATATATATATATATATATATATATATATATATATATATATATATATATTAAGCACTGAGTAATACAAACTAAATGCTTTTACACATGGAAAAACTATTGCAGTATTACATTTATAGGTCTTACACAAGTAAAATACTAATCATTTCCTGTTGAGGAAATATATCAATCTATTTAACTTGTTTATTTTAAATCCATTGTTTATCAGCTGATGTTACTTTTACATAATTAAAATAATACGGCTCATTTAAATATCACTCTGCAGTTCGAAATTCCATTTTCTTAGTTTGCAACTCCTGTAAGGTTAAAATCAGCAGCCATAATAACACAGGTACCATGTAAGCTAATTACAGATTATGCTAATGCTAATGATAGCAGGTATGTTGCACACAGAGAGTAGCTTAGGAATGAGAAGAATCTGGTTGCTATGGGGTCCAAATGAAATTCTGCATAGGCCCCAAAAAGGCTTGTGCTGACCCTGTAAATACACACAACAGGTACAGACATAGTGAGAAGAAAATAGCCTTAAGGTGCTTTGAATAGGCCCTTCTCCCATAAAGACAGCCTCAACCTTGGAGTGCTGTGTTGTCCAACATATATCAACTTTTTATATGCCTTCTTCATGCTAGTGCGGTGAGAAGGCGGCTTGAAATAAAGCGAGAGGTTGTGTGTGTGTGTGTGTGTGTGTGTGTGTGTGTGTGTGTTG